CTTCCACCCCTGCAAAGGTCTCCAGGGCATCCCACAGTCCACCCCAAGAAGCAGCACAGGGGCAACCTCTAAGCACTTCTCAACTTAAAATTTCAAGTGATTTTTTGGCATGAAGACTTGCCATCATAACATGGAGACCATTGCAGCATGAAGCTAAAGTTCCTGGATTTTTGGGCCACCAGCCAGCCACCAGCCCCTTGCTGCACCCCAGCCCTTTCAGTGCTTCCATGCTAATTGCAGCAGTAAAGAAATTCACCTGCTTTCCAGGAAGCAAGTTTCAGGTTGCAGGCAGACTTCTGTACATGTTGCATCTGTTCCACTCCTGCCCACCTTGGTCCTTAAGCTGGTAGTGCAGAACCTGTATAGGTCTTAGCACAGCTCTTGCAAGGGCTTGTACTGCCCTTTCAGAGGTAATCTTCATCAGGTTATGAGTCTCTATCTCCTTGCTTTTCCCCCATGCATGCTGGGTGCAGCAATAAAACAATGTTTCATTATTTACACTGCATATATTGAGAGTGTATGATGCCTGCTGCTCCATCTGGTGACCCCCAAATCACATGGGAGCAAAGCATTCAACCCCAAATTAGTCATTTGTACCTGCCCATGCAAGGGGCTTCTGCATGGAAAGATGCTTCAGCCTCAGCAAACCTTTCTGTGTCCCAGTTCCCCATACCTGAAAGCAGGGGTGTTCAGTGTTACTCCATCTCAGCTGCTTTGCAGGTTGTGCTAGAGAGGGAGTCGTGGGAAGTCCTGGCTGGGCTTCTCAAGTGGGGTCTGGGTCCTGCCCCTACAAAGGGCTTTGCTTCCAGGTGGTGTAAGGGAAGCTGTGAACCTGTGCAGCATGAAAACCTGTTAAAAATCTCCAATCATCCTTAATTGTAAAACAGCTAAAATCCATTAAGTTTTCCTGTTAGTTAGTAACTGGTATTTCACAGTCATCGCAGTGCAGGCTCTGCCAGCAGCATTTTTGCAACAGGGCAAGATCCTCTCCTGGCCCTTGGGCTCATGCAGGTTGGGAATCATGTCCTGGCGGCAGGACCAGTCGTGGCCGTGGGAAATGGCACTGCTAAATATACAACATTGTGAAACTGCTGGCACCTCCACTTCTCTTGTTCACTGACTTGAGTTTCAGGATGTCTGCTTTGCTTTGGCATGCCCAGCAAGCTGCCCTATAGCCAGGGCATCTTCCTTCTCCTCCCTGACAGGAAACCTATTTTGGAGGGGGGTGGAGGGAAAGGAGCAGGAAAAAAAGGGCTGGGGGCAGCAGAAGGGACCAGGGAGGTGATGCACGTCCTGGCATATGCAAGTCTCTGGGGAGCAACAGGCAAAGATGGGGGCAGCTCAGAAATGGGATACACCACATTAAAAGGGGGAATGGTGCCATTCCTTGCACCCCTAAATCATAAGAATTTCCTGTGGAGGGGAGGAGTGACAAAGTTGTGAAAAATGGGCTTGTTCTCTTGCCCCACAGCTGGATCTGAAAAATTTTAGGGTAAGCAGCATGTCAGTTGGTGAGGCTCGGTCCAGGAGGGAGCCTCACTACATACACCGTGAACGGGGCAGCAAACCAGGACTGCACATCTGCCATAATCATGGTGCCCATATGGTGATAACCTCGTCATATGGGGTACCATCCCATCACCTCTTGGGGACAGATGCTGCTTCTTCCTTCCCCTAGGCAGCATTTGATGGAGTCTTCCCCCCAGTTGTGTCAAGCAGGAACAGCATCCCTGAAAAAGCAAGCCATGGGCAGGCAGGATTCAGCTGGAAAAGTCTAGCTATTTGTGAAAGAAACAGTAAATCTCTGAAAGCTGGAAAACAGCAGTAAAGAGGAAACGCTGGAGCCTGCTGTGCCACCTCTGCTGTGCCAACAGGCTGCTCAGGTCGAGAGCACTCATGATGTGCCTCTGCAAGTGCTGTGGTGCTGGCAGGAGGACAGCTGGCTGGGGAGGTCAAAGACTGATGCACTGCTGGCATTGCTGAAGTTTCAGTGTTTAGATTATTGCTTTCATTAAAGCAGTCCCAAAAACATAAATGGAAAGCTGTGATGGGCACTTAGAGTATATGGTGAGGAGTGATGGCTCCAGCCTCTGCAACATTGCTGTCTGACAAGCTGAGCATGCAAAGAGCAGTGGGGTAAGCTGCACGAGATCACAGATACCTAGAGCAGAAGAAAACAAGGATGTTATATATATAAGGATGTGCAGCCTAGAGATGAGAAGGACACTGCCATCAGTGGCTGGAGCTCTTTTGGCTCTCATGTCGGCAAACAGCAGCAGTTACAGGATGGGGAGGGAAGCAAATACCAAACTTACATCTGGAACAAGTTGTTTTATTAAAAATGAGATTATCCCAAGCAAGGTGTAGTAGAAGGCAGGGTTACTGTGCTGAGCTGACAAGGTTTTCTCGCTCTTGTTTTCTTTCCTTTGGGAAGAAAGATGCCTTAATTCCATTCAGTGCTTCTGGTGGTGGAAGGATGTATGGTTTTCATGGAAAAAGTTACTCATCGTAGCCCGAACCCTGTTTTCATTAGTAAGTGAATGCAGTTTTCTCTTAAGAAATCCAGCTGCTATTGGATGAAAGCTTCCATTCGGAGGTCCTCTGTGCTCTCTTAAACAAACCAAATGGAGTCAGGCAGTGTGGGAGGGATGTGTGGTGTTGCCGGGGCACATTCAGGATGAAACTGGGAACATCTGGAGTTGGTTCAGCTGGCTGTTATGGGCAGACCTCGCTGCTGGGGTGGGTTTGATGCATTGGAAGAGGCTCTGTCCCTTTAGCTGATGTTCCCAAATGATAGAAAAATATCTTTCGGATAGCTTGCAGCCTGCTTTTGATTCTGTGTTGGGGATTTTAGGGCAAATTTAGTTGGAAAGCAGCTGCAGCTCCGGGTGCTGGTGTCACCCTGGCATCACTTGGGTGGCAGGGTGTACTGGGGTGCTAGGTGCAGAGGGCAGAGCAATGTGTCTTGCAGGGGGAAAACAAGAAGGGCTGCAGCCTTTTTCCTTTACCTCTCCCAGCCAGCACAGAAACACAGATATCACTCAGGGTCCTTCTCCCCTAGCAGCCACTGATAGACCTTCACTTTAAGAGTGGCACTGATTAATTTGGGGGCATTCTTTTTCTCCCAAGAGGATAAACACAAACTTCGTTATGCCCTCAGACAATGAACAAGCCACGCCAGGCTGGATTTGGGTAACTTTCTGCGAAGCCACAACCTGCCTTATTTGGAGCTGGACTCGAGCACGGACTGGCTTTCGTGACTTTCTCCATAGCCAGTGTTTGGAGAACCTCAGGCTGTCCCAAGTGCAGGAGGGATGGGTGACCGTGCCAGCAGGGAAGTTGCATTGGTTGCTGTGGGAGAAGTGTTAAAAGCTGATTATTTTGTTGGCAAACTGGGGAAAGGCTTGTAAAATCTTCCCTCCCTCTCCAGCTGGTGGAGATTTTCTCCCTCCAGTAAGTGGAAAAGCCCTGAGGTCAGCTTGCCCTTTGAGTTTGGCACAGATGATGTGGTTTTGCCCCAGTTTCAATGGCACCCCTGTAAAAATCTCATGGCTGGGATTTGTAGAAGTGAGCAAGGAGGAAACCACCTGCTAACCTCCTGAGGGGCAAAGCCAGGCTCCCACCAACAGTGGGAGATCCCAGTTGCAGATCTCAGTGCTCCTGCATTCACCAAGGCTCTGCTGTGCTTGCGCAACTGGAGACTTTGCACTTTTACTGAACAGCCTGGGTTTTTTTGCTGTGAACTTCATGGTGCCTCTGATGCACGTAGCTGACTTAACTCAGACCCTTTTAGAAAAATCATGTTTCCACTTCTGTACTCTTTGGTAGTTCTCTTCCTTTTGTTAAGATGGATGGCTTTGAGGATTTAGGACACTCAGAGTTAAACTGGCATTTGGACAGGTGCTTCCAGCCTTTCGCAGCAGTGATACTGAATTCTTAGGGGTTTGGGTTTTTTCACATGTTTATTTCCCCCCCCTCCATCTCTTGTGGTTTTAAATGGAAGGCCAGTTGTCACAGAGAGCACAGCGTGTCCTGCTTGAAATGTTCTAGCTTGAGTTGCTCTCAGTGACACCTTCCCTGCTGTAGTGCCCCCATTCTGCTCCCATCTTCCATTGCCATTCCCAGCCCCGCCCTGAAAGAGAAAACGGTGAGGAAGTCAGTCATAAAACTTCCCATTGTTTGCACGAAAATACCCCAGTGGCAAGCTGAGTTGATGCTCCATGCACAGAACAACTTCTCCTGTGCTTGAAGTGTGTTTTTAGCCTTGCCCTGGGGGTCGCTGATGTGTGTCCATGTGCACACATATGTGTGGAAGTGCACTGTTCTTGTGCTGGACAACGGCATGGGCAAGGCAGCAGCCTCAGCCAGGAGGTCTCCAAAAGCACTGTGGTTGTGCTTTAGCCTGAACTGAGGCATTGCTCCACTTCAATCCCTGTATTAGGACATTAAGGAAAGCCATACATACCAGAGGAACACTAGGTCTGCTCAGACTGGAAGCCTGACTCTGGGTGGGAAGTAGTGTGCGTGCAAGATTTGGGGGCAGAGGGAAAAGTTGACTGTTCCCCCACTTTCTGTTTCTACATCACAGAGAAATCAAATAGGATCATAACAGCCCATTAGAAAAAGGGAGTCATCAGGGTTGATCCTAACTTCTGTTGAAAACCTCTCCAAAAAACCTCAGTGACACATCTCATGCTACCTGGGTAAGGCTGAGCCTTCCATTTTAGCTCTTGGGAAAGAAATTACTTGCAGGAACTGGAAAGGGCTTTGCATATCCCTAGAATGAGGGGTCTGCTCACAAAACAGGGAAGATGGTGTGGCTCATGTGGTATGGGGTGCAAAGCATGTTGCAGGGGTGGGATGATGGTTAGGAAGGATGTTCTTGTACATTTGCAGAAAGATGAAAAGCAAGCCTTTTGTTCCTGCCTGAAAGCTTCCACCCCAGGTCCAGTGCAGCTAGAACAGTGAGTAACACTTGCTTCCCTCTGCTTTCTCCACAGCTGGCTGGAGGCATCATCCTGGGAGTGGCCCTGTGGCTCCGGCATGACTCCCAAACAACGAGTATCCTCTACCTGCAGCTGGGGGATAAGCAGGCCCCCAACACCTTCTACGTCGGTGAGTCAGTCTGGGGGTGCTGGCATTGCTGCGTGGGCATCATGTCCCAGGGTAGGCTGCAGTATGCCCAAACTCAGGGCAGAAAGCTCCAGGTGAGCAGCAAGGAGGTCAGAATGAAAATACCTCCGGCTGCCCTTATACTCTGCAGAATATCCCCTGCCATGCCAGGCAGAGCCTTCAATAAATGTTGGCTGTGGCCCAAGCACGGAATCCAAATTCATAAAAAGCATAAAAAGACCTGTTGTGGTGTAGTGGGTTTTATCCAGTGCCATTCTCCACTGCGGTCCCTCTCAGAACCCATTTAGAAAGCAGGGGGATTTCTTGGAAGCATATCTCGTTTCCTATCCAAAGGGATGTAAAAGTAGCCAGTGGAGTGCCTGGCAGTGGAAAGTGAAGCTTGGTGAGCGCGTGACTCATGTTCTCCAGGAGGGGCAGGTGGAGCCTCTGCGTGTTACGGTTAAGCGTAGCGTGATTTTTGTTAATTTGACAGCATGCTGGCTTACTGGAAGTTGAAACCCCCCTATTTTTGCCCTGTTCTCCAACGAATCCTCGCAGACGACGAGGAGCAGCTTGCAGGAGGGGCTGGCTGCCAGGCAGGGGCTGACTTGGAGCGCAAGCCGACGGAGCTGGGAACATCATCTGATCCGATGTCCTGTTCTCACCTGTAGCTAAAATTACTTTCTGGAAAGGGTTTTCCTTTGCATTTCCCTGCTTGCCTGTGAAACAGCATGCCTGAGCCTTCTCCTTGGCTGTGCCTGGTTACAGAAGATGCTCCTGCTGGAAGGAGCAGTGGGTTTTCCCTCTCTTGCCATCTCTCTTCTCCTGCCTTACACCCAGAGCTGTATTTACAGCATTTCCCCTTTGTAGATCTCGATTTTAAAAAGAGAAAAGGAACTCATAAGAAGTTAAACTCTCTCCTTTCCAGGAAGCAGCCCAAACATCTTCCTTCATGCGGCCAACAACTTATGTCTCTCTAGTTAAAACTTTCTCCCCAAACCTGGGGGACCTGGAGCATGGGAACAGAGTCCTTCCCTTCTGCCTGTTGGGCATGTTTTACTCTTCCATCCCTTTTTATTTTGTCTATGTCTTTTGCCTTTGCTATTGAGAAGGTGATGGGGAGTGGGCCATGGGTCCTGCCAGCAGTTTTCTTTGAATGGCTCATGATTTGAAGTTGACTGTCTTTTTAAAGTTATATTCAGCAACAGATTGGCCTGGATTCCTTCTGGCGGCTGTAATTTCCATGCAGTAATAACAGCAGAGCATTTCTTTCATTCGCTGCCTCTCCCAGCCAGACCTCTGGAGTCTGAAGGCTGGGATTTCTTTTTGCTTTCCCTCCCCCCGCCCCTATTCTTCCTCCCTCCTACAACTGATACTCCCTCCTTTTTCTCCTCTGGCATCCAATGTACACATGCACACAATGTTCCTGCTTCGGGAATGGGAACCTCTCCAGGGTGGGCCTCCAGAGCTGGTTTCCATCCCCCTGCCCTTGCAAGCTGCTTTTTGGTGTCTGGCACAGGGCGCTGGTCCCGGGATCTGTCAGGAGGCTTTTAAAGGCCAGCCAGGCTTTGCCGTGGCGCTGCAGGACAGGGGGAAGCAATAAACACTGTCGGAGGAGGAAAACTTCCATCCTAGGGTTTGTACTGAGCGAGAAGGGGAAGTGGGAAACCAATGATTGGGTGTCTCCTGACTTCTCTCTGTGTCGTTTCCCCTGGGCTGAAGTTGGAGCTGTTTGTTAATGGCTGTTTTCTCAGGGTGTCTCTATGCTGTTATGGGAGAGGAAAAGTACTGAGTGCAGCTGGTTGGTGTGTGGGATTTGAGGGCAATGGGGAAGTGGGATAAAGAGGATGTGGGGAGCAGGGCAGCTACGGGGTACCAGGTGTGATGCTTATTTGCCTTCAGGCAGCTGCAGGAGCAGGAGGAGAGGAGCAGTCCTTGCTCTCAGCTTCTAGACTGGACCATCACAGCAGCTGCCCCTGCAGGCACAGGCAGCTGTTCCCCTGCTTGCCTCTCCAGCCCACAAGGAGGGGACTCCTGGGGACTGGGGTTTCCCACAAGCACTGCCCCTCCTCCCCGGCACTTTGGCACTGCATCCAGCGAGTTGTCTTGTGGGTTGGCTTGGGAGGTTATTAAACAAGCCCTTGTTCATGGGCTTTTCCTCAGCACGGTGTGCATACCATCTCATCTCCTAACCAGTTGTTGCAGTCGTGGCTTTTGGCACTTCCATTTTGGCCATGAACCCAGTGTTCCAGCAAATGGAAAATTAACTGCTTCGGTGCTGTGAAGACAAGTGGTACCAGGGATGGGGATAGCTGGAGCACCCTAGTTTCATGCTTTTGTGACTATAAAGAAAAAGACTTGCTCTTTATCTGAGATAGGCTTATGGTCTGATATGCATTTATTTGCTTTATTTGTAGTTGAAAAACTATAATCCTTCTTGTCCTTGGATAACACTTCGTCTAGAATGCTCTGTCTGTCTCTAGGCTGCAAAGGTGTTGGTCACAAGGCAGAAAACACCCTTCAGGGTAACTAGAGGCATTGATAAGTTGGATGCTAACAATTGATTAAGCATTTCTCAGATATTTATTGTCCCTACACATAAAGTACCATTTAAAAACCCCAAATACACAAGCAAACAACAAAACTGTAATTCAGTGAGTTATGAGAGTGCATAGGAAAAGGCTGAGCTGGTCCATCCCTGCAGATACTAGTACAAACTAGAACTGTCTGATCTCTCCACAGTAAGTTGGTGCTGTGGTGTCACTGGTTTTAAGAGCCCCTGGGAATCCTGAAGAGGCAGGTGACACTAGGCTTGTTGCTTTTGCCTTATCTCAGTGGGATGATAGTGAAGATAATGTGTGAGGGAAAAGCCAGGTTCCCTGTCTTTCAAGGATTTGGTTATGGAGATGACTGCAGTAGGTGAAATGCTTTGAAGAGGGTGGAGACAAAAGTCTCAGCTCTTGTTTGCCTTAAATCCCCACCTCGGGATTTCACACTTCCCCCTTGCTGGGCTGCCAGTGCAGTAGGAGCATCGCTGGGTGCTTGTCCCTGCTGCCTGCCCTTCCTGTGCTTTCCCTCAAGCTGCCCAGTGAGGAATGGAGCACAGCACACCGATGGTCTTGGCTTCACTCTCTCCTGCCAGATCCAAAATAGGAAATCTGCCTCCAGCTGCTCACAGCAAGTGACAGGGTGACACGACTCGTGGCTCTAATTAGCTCAGCCCTGGGAGTGGGGCCAGCCATGAGGAAGAGTGCAAAAGCATCCAGAGCTGGGGCACTCTGGTTCTGTGTAGCTTTGGGAGTGATGAAGGGATTGGTTTTGCTTCTATTTCGTTTTTTTTCTGTTTTGTTGCTAAATCCTCTGCTCTCCGGAGCATGGCAGCACCACCAGCCCTGGGAAGGGGTGTGAGGTTTCAGACAGTCATACAATGGTGGGTTAAACTTGTCCACCGAGACTGCTGCCACCAGTCCCTTCCCTGCTGTCCTGCTGGGTATCACTGCCTCAACAGAAGGGCAAGAGGGGTTGTTCGGTTTGGTTTGGTTTGTTTTTTTGGGGACGTGTTTCCCTAGATACCAGCTTGATGGCTGTGGATCCAGCTCCCAAGCTGGGTAGCAGAGCCTGAGGGAGACAAGGCAGGACAGCTGAGGGCTGATGGTAAGGCAGTGAGTGTGTCTGTGAGGTGGTGTACTGCTGAGCAGCTGGAGAGGAGGCCAGCTAGTGGGAATGTGGGCTCTCTAACAGGGTGAATCACAGACTGTCTTCAGCATCCTCCTCTGTGCAAATACAATCCAGGATAATGATTTCTGCCCTGGAAATGAGTTCTAGCTGCTTTTCACACAGAGTGGGCTAGAATAAATGGGCCAGAAAGCACAGGGAGACTTTAAAGCCTTTCTCACAAATGGGTACATATCTGAGTTGAGCTGCAGCTGCTGGCAAGCCTTCATGGGTGTCTTCAGGATTTTTGAAAGTTCTGTCATGAGGTTTTGCTGGCCACAGGAGAATCTGACCCTTGCAGAGAGGAGGGACTGTTAAGCAGCAGTGCTTACGTAGATAGGGATCAGGACATCTGTCTGAGCTTCCCCAAGGTTTGCCCATTGCAAATTGCCCATTGCCCATTCAGGACTCTCTAGGACAAAAATCAATGATTTCCAGGGTTTCAGGGAGGTTTTAATCGCAGAGGGTCTTGTGCTAAGCTCCAGTGTGTTGCAAAGGCTCTGGAAGTCAGCAGTGCTACTGTGAGTGTGGGCCTGCTATGAGCAACAAGAAAGCTTTGGTTTCTGTTTATGCTCCCAATCCTGTCCTCATCCCTCTGGAAATGTTAGGCATCTTTTAGAGATGGTGTCAACTTCTGTATATCATGGGGTTAGACTCAACAGCAAGTCTTTTGCTAAACTTGTTGTGAAAGGGTTAGAGAAAAGCCTGAGAGTCTTGGTCTTCAGGTCCTACAAAATGCACTAGTGAAAAACCACCTTGAGTTTCGGCATGTGATGCTGCAGTGATCCCTGTGGATGCACACAGCTGGTTCAGGGCTGGGTTCTTACCTCACCCGTTTGTGCTCTACTTTGTCAAGGCTCCATGTGTCAGAGGTTTGCCAGAAGACACACGAGCTGTGGCCAGGCTTGCGTGCTTGGCAGTGGACACCAAGATTTGCATTTGGCCTTGCCACGCTGAGCAAAATGGATTATTAAAAAAAATAATATATGTGTGGATATTTAAAAATAGAAGTACATGCATTTTTCTGTCTTGGAAATAAACTTATTTACAGTTAAGGACGATTTAATTATTTAGTCCCTTAAAGGAAAAAAGGTACTGAGATTTATTTGTTCTAGATTTTCCTCTAATCACTGTTAGATCAGCTCCTTCAATAATACTGGCATTCTTTTTAAAGCAGTAGTTATAAAGCAAATACTTTGTCAGTGCTTTCCTATAAGTATCTGGCTTACACCATATATCTGACAGTACAAACAATCCTGTTTTTTTTGTATTCTTATCACAGAATTCAA